CAAGGCCATAATTCGATAACTTTTATATTCTAGTGGAGAAGATCCTTCTTCCCTTCCCTTGAATTTTCCCTCCATCAGTGCTTATAGCTATGCATTTTAAGTGTTTGGGCTCCCAATGTACAGACAAATGTGGCAGGTTGTCCGATGTGTTTTTAAGTAATCAGCCTGTCATTCACCTGGCTGCTTGATATCAAGTGGAGAACTTATCAGAGGTCTGGATCTTTGCCACTGGGCTGGCAGCCAAGCAAAAATGAAGTCCATGACTTACAGAATGAGGAGTTAAATCAGATCAAGTGCTGGAGAAATCAGGCTGCCTAGGGCAGGTGAATTAACAGAATCAGCAAAACAGTCATATTGGTACATGTTTCTGGCAACTGACCTAATCAAGCTAGTGAGATGGCCCTAAACAATGAATACAAGGCTCTGGGCTCAGAGCCATCAGAAGATGGTAGTAAAATTTTACCAGGTGAATAAAAGTAAAGAAAGACTATTAGAGACATGCTGGAGTCCAGTGACTTTTAGGACATTGATAACAGATAATAAATCTTTTTTACCTATTTGAAGTATCTGTTATATCATCAGCTTTCTTTTTAACAGTAATAAGATTTTCTTCAATAAACAAATATCAGATGTCAAATGCAGCAAAATGCAATGGGTTGTATTGAACTATCTTCTATTTTGTAGTGAAAAAGGATGATAATGAAAGAAAGTCTACCCTGCCCCATTTATATTTTCCACCTCCAACTTGCTGAAATTGCTCTTGATAAGATCAGCAATGACCTTCTAACTTGCCAAAGCTGACTTTTCACTCTTGGTCCTAGTTTCATTTGACTTGTCATCAACCTCCTTCCTACCTCCTTTCGTTCTGCTCCTAGATCTGATAACAATTACTCTTTAGATATACACAGCTCCTTCCTCTGCCCCTGCTTTCCACAGAGGTTCCTCTTTAAGCAACCTTTCTTCTAACTCTAAAAACTTTTCCTGAGAAAATTGACCATCTCTATGGTGTTAAACAACACAAATATTCCAATGACTACCACTTCTGTATGTAAAACTGCTAGAAGAGAGTTTTAACCTGCATTCCCCCAGATGAGTAAATTGACAGGATATTTATGTGTTGGCAGGTTTTCCTTTTCTTTTGTATTGTAATACGTGACCTGTCACATAAGTACTTTTATAACAGAGATAAATTGAGATGCTGAACAACAACAGCAACAACAAGCTGAAGGCTTTTTATCACAAAGTATATAAAAGTATACAAGTATTTGGTATATTTGAAGAGAATACCTTAAAATTTTATAAAAACCTCTCTATCTTTGAAATTCTGTCATATCACCCATAACCATTGTATCTTACCCTGTCTCTGAGCTGATATGAAAGACCTGGAAACATGGGTTTTTTTATTTATTTATTTTTTTTTTTTAGATTCCCATTCTTAGCCTTGACTTTTACCTCCTACGCTTGACATTATCTATATTCTTACCTGCTCCTACAGCTTGATTCTTGCCTATGGCAAGTCCTCCTGCACCATAGACATGAAATTTTAGAATGAGGCAGAAAACTCTCTAAGTTCTACTCTTAATATTTTTACTATTGCCCATTCTGACTTGTGGGGTTTTCTTCAGAGCCAGTCTTCTGAGGAGCTATGAAATCAACAATAGTCTCTCCTTATCTAGCCATACATGCTTAGAATCCTCCCTAATTTTACCTGAGAGTAGGAAAGAATATTTCTTTTATTAATACTAAGTTTTATATTTATTTATCTATACAGTAAACACAAGTTCTCTGAATCAAAGAACACATCCTTAATTACTCAAGAGCATCTTAGGGCCAGATGTTTATCTGTGAGCACAGGGGTTGTGGTATAGTGGAGAAACACCCAAATTATGGATCTTAGGCTATATAAAGAAACTGAAACATCTGTCAGACAGAGAGAGAGAGAAACATAAACAGAAGCTTTGCTCTGGAAAAAACAAATCCTTTCCAGGAAGAAGGGAAGGTCTAGTTCTATTATCTTTAGAATGTAAGTTGAAGTATCAGCAAGGGGCTCAGAGAGATAGAAATTTTTCAACCTCTCTGGAGCAATTCACTAGTCTAATCTTCAAGGTATGTTTGCCATTCAGTCACCCTTTAACTCATTTGCCCAAGCTCTTTTCAGAAAACCTAGAAATGTGAAAATAGGTATGGTCCAACAATAGTTGCCATCTTGCTCCTCTGTTCAAAATCGGATTCCAATTGCCTATTGGACCCATAGTCTGAGGCCCCAAAGGCTTCTCAGTATGATCATGTCCAAAAGTGAACTCATTGCTTACATACATATACAAGCAAGCAACCGTGGCACTTGTTCATCGATTTGAAATCATTTACTCAATGACACTACTATGTATCTGGATGCCTGGGCCATATACCTGAGTCATCCAAGTCATTCCTCTTCTTCAACACACAGTCATTGAGTTCTGCCAAGACTCCTTCCTAAACTTCTTTCCCAATTCAACTCAAATATGGATACCAATTAGATATTTGATTAAATTAATGGATTTTTCTTAATGTTGTATGCATGATAATAGTATTATGTATGCTTTCCTTGAAAAGAGTTCTTATATATTAGAAACACATGCTGAAGTATTTATGGTAAAATTATATATCAATTTGTTTCAGAATAATCTGGTTGAAGAGGTGAGTGGATAAGGGTGTAAATGAAACAAAGTTGTCCATGGAGTCGTAACAGTTGGCACTGGATAATAGGCTCATGGGGATTGTTTGTATTATTTTCCTACTTTTGTATATATTTGAAATTTTATATAATGAAATTTTTAAAAATCATGGTTCTGCATTAGCTAATGAATTACATGAAGAATTTTCAGATTGAGTTTCCAAGTACATTATTAAACATCCCCAACCTCTGTTTCCTGGCCCATCTTCCCCTAAGCTTGCACATTTCCAAAAAGCCAGCCAAATATGACTACTCATGTTACCTGTCTTTGCATGTGTGTTACCTACTAGCTATAATGTCCTTCCAACTTCTACTATTCAGCTATGTCTAACCTAAATTGCACCTCCTTCATGAATCCTTTCCTGAGTCTAAGACCAAATATATAATCCCATTTCTTCTCTAAACTTTTAGAAAATATTTGGTATCATTTAGCCCACTCATTATATTCTCTCTTCCCATCTAGCCAGAGCGTCTATATTTTCATTTTTTCCCTTCAATCTCTAAATTATACCCTTTCCTACTACTACAATAAAACCCATTTAAAACTTCTTAAAAACAAACAAAACTGTGCTTCTTCCACCTTTGCTTTCCCTGTATTGCTCCTTTGCACATGGAAAGAGCTCAATAAATATTTGCTCAGCTGACTTGTCTATAACAATTTAGATGAACAAAATAACCAAATTCTTATTAACAAGACTACCCAAATATGTGTTTTTTTAGCAAATTTCTTTGGGAGTCAATATTTTTTAAAGGTTTTTGTTTTTACATAATGAATTTGTGGTCTTTGCTTTTCCCTTAAATTATAGATAAAAATTATGGAGTTAATTTGTGGGATTCACTCACTTGTTCATGTATTCAATAGAAAAGTATTGTACATCTTTCATGTGTCAGGCAAAGGTTTGAGTTCTGGAAACCCAACAGAAAGCAAAACAGATAACATCCCTGTATTCCTAGGGATTACTGGAGAGGTGCACACAGACCATTTGACATCTAATTTAATGTTAGTCATAAGTGCCACAAAGTAAAATGCAGAAGAATTCAGAGAAAAGAGCATGGGTGGGGCTGCTATTTAAATATTGTGGTAGAGAAGGCTTCTCTAAGAAGAGAAAGAAGTGAGTGAATGTTGGTGAGGGAAAGTATTTTTGGCAGAGAGAACAGCAAGTGCAGAAACCTTGAAGCAAGCGTATACTTGGCATACTCAAGGAATGCAATAAAGCTAATGAGACTGAAGTTATGGTCTAGGGGGAGACTGGAAAGAGATGAGGTTGGTACCAGAGCTGCAGCAAAGGAAGTAGCAAGAAGCAGTCAAATTCTGGGTATGTTTTGGAAGTAAAGCCAAAAAGATTGTTCCACAGGTTGAATACTGGAGATTGAAAAAGTTAAGGATGGCTCTAAAGTTGTCAGCCATATTAATTATTAATTCATATCCATTTACTGAAATGAGAGAAACTATAGGAGGAGAAGGATTAAGAGATGGAGTTTGGAATTCTGTTTGGGCCATGTTAAGTTTGAAAGTTTTGTGAGACCTCCAAGTGTCAAGAAATTTCTTGGATTTGTTAGTCAGGCATTAAAAGGAGAGGTCTGGGCTGAGTATATGTTTGGGTGCCATTGTCTTATAGAGAGTAAAGTTATGGGAACAAATGGGAGGAAGTATGGACAGAGGAGGAAAGAAGTGCAAACACTGAACCAGAGAACTCTAATATTAAGAATAGTAAGAAGGATCCCAATATTTGATAGCACAATAAAGTTACTTTAATCAACAAAAAGTTAGGGTATATTTTTAAATAACTAAAAGAGTGAAATTGGGATGTTCCTAACAAAAAGAAATGTTAAATGCCTGAGGTGATGGATACCCCAAGTACCTTGATTTGATTAATTCACATTGTATGCCTGCAACAAAATATCACATGTACTCCATAAAGATAAACAACTATTATGTATCCATAATAACTTTTAAAAAAAATTTTAAAATAAAGAGGAAAAAGATCCAGACTGAGAAAGTGGACACGAAGGTGCAAGAAAAACCAGAAGAATTCAGGTTACTTAAGCCAAATGAAGGCAATTTTGAGCTGTAGGGAGGGATCAACCATGTCAGGATGAGGACTATGAATTACCTATTGAATTCAGGCACATTGAAGTCATTGGACTTCAGGACTAATAAATTTCAAAAGGCAATAATTAAGAATTGCAAGACCACTTATTAGTTCTGGGTTTTGTATGTTTCTTTTTTTCTTTCCATAGACAGCTGATTCATTTTTTTTCTTCTTCTAAAATTTCAATATTACAGAATATAAAAGACAATCTGCAACAAATCTCAGGTCGGATCGACGTTATTCACAACAAGAAGACAGGAGCATTGCAAAGTGCCACACCTGTGGAAAGGGCGAAGCTACAAGAAGCTCTCTCACAGCTTGATTTCCAATGGGATAAAGTTAACAAAATGTACAAGGACCGACAAGGGTAGGTAACACTTTCATTTTACTGATTGATTATATAAATGATTTGTTTTCAGGGAACTCTGCAATTTATTTCAATATCCTACATGGAAAAAATAGGGATAAAGAGAAAGAGAAGTATTACCATCATTAGAAAAAGGTAGGTAGAGTGAGAACAAATGATGAACAATTTAGACAAATGAGCTGAAATCTAGAAATTATTCTGTACTGAATGTAGCATTATGTTGGAGTATTATATCATCCTCTAAAATTTCAGGTAATGTTAAAGCAGGTTTGATCACTTAATTGAGGTGGTATAAACAATTGTACACTATATAATGTATGTCTTTAGTCAATTCTGTGTTCTATATAATTATAACAGTTTGACACTTAAGTTAATGTGGTTAAAATATAACCTATCACCAAAAAGTTGATTTTCAATCATTGTTTTTTGTATTAGAGGGTGATGCTTCACACCTTGCAGCAATCTCCACCCCCCCCCCCACACACTTTTCTTTTTTTGCTATGGGAAATTTGTTTATTTTAAATTATGTTTTTGTTCTTACTTTAATTAAAATATTTAGCTGTTGAAGTAATATTTAGAGGGGATTCACATGCATTCTTTACTCTCATATCACAAGAAAGTGAATTATTTTTTCTTTTATATTTTTCAGTTAAAAGTAATGAAGTTCTCTAATAGCTTAAAACAATTTGTTTTAAAGTTCTATAGTCTCAAGGTAGGCTTCTTAGTTATACTGAGAGGAAATCCAATCATTTGTCTAATAATTATGGGGAACCCCCGTAGTATTTCTCACATCTGTCCATTTCTAACCATCCTTGCTTCTATTTTAGTTCTTAGTTTACTACATTAGGTTCCTAAACAGAGACTTCTAGCATTAATCTCAGTTGTCTCTATTGATTGGCCCTACTTTGTTCTCAAATATCTTTCATCCAGCATCATTTTTCTAAAGTGTAGGAACTTCAATACTGTAATCTCATTCCCCTCAGAATGAAATCCTGACTACTTAACAAAGCATAATTATCTGATCAACCTCACTGCTTATTCCTTTTTTCTTAGCCTACTGCCCCTTCAAAGTCTGCTCTAGCAGTATGAAATTGGTTTGCAGATCCCCAAGTGTTTTGTGACCCCCTCTGGCCTACCTGTCCTTCGGGTAACTCCTGAGATGTTATATCTTCCTTGAAATCTTAAAACTATATGTTTATCATAACATCTGGAAACTTGGATGGTGTTTTACCATTTAATGTAATATAATATCAGTAAATCATTTTATGTATTTGCAAATGTTTCCAGACTTGGTTGCTATCATGTAGAGTTTATGCTTCAATATGACCTACTCTTAGAAGTTACCACATGGTAATGAATTTGCTTACTTTTCTGCCTCTCACACAATCCACATAGTCATGGGCTATGTGTATTTTGTGTGAGATGCTCAGGACTAATATAGTGCCAAACATAAAGTGGGTGTTCAGTGTGTCTGGACTCAAGCCTTTTCCCAGAAACTTCAGAATATTTCTCTACTGGATGATCTAATAGGTTTATCCCAACTTATGTGAAAAAAGCTGGTCCCAGGTGTCCAAAGCCGGGCTTTATAAAGGAAAGCAAACTCAACAACCTGTGTATATACTGCAAATACAAACTTATATTGCCACCACAGTACACTTTCTCTCAGTATCCCACTAAGTCACTAGGAGCCTCTGCTGCCTACTCCAATGAAGTCAGTTCCACCACTCTCTTTTGGGGTGCTCATTCCACTGTTGAAATGTTATTGTCTCTCTGTTGTCTTCTTCCAGTCAGTGTTTCCTCCAAGAATTCCAGGCCACACACACCATCCCCTAAGAACCTCTGGGGTTTCTTAGGTAGCCAGTGATTGCTATGATTCTGTACCTACCAGTCTTGCACTAAAGTAGAAGTAACACTTTCTGTTTTTTTGAGGCTTTTCTTCCACTTCACTTGTTAGTCGTTCTTTGGCTAATGAGTCAGGCATTCATTCCCTTCTCACAAGGTCACACAGACATTTCCCTTTCAGTTCACCTTCAACCCTAGACTTAAAAGAAGCAGAAGCACTAATGCCATTCCACAGAAAGGATACCTGAAATCTTACCCCAAATCTGAGGTCTTTTCTATTTCTGGCAAAGGACAGAATGTCTCTAATCCCAGAAGATCCACTCCTTCCTTATCCAGAGGCTGAAAGAGATCCTAATTTTATTCCAATTGACCTTCTCTAGGAATTGGTCAGAAGCTGTTAAATTTTCTATGACTTTTAGTCTAGTCTTAGTTTTAAACAAAAAAAAAAACTGTTTTAAGTAATTGCTTACAAACACAGGCTCTAGAGTTCTAACATGTTTTGGAATCCTGGTTTTGCTGCTGATTAGTTATATGGCCTCGAGCAAGTTTTTTAACTCTTATGCTATACAAGTTCTTTTTTTTTTTTTGGCATATTATGGGGGTACAAATTTTAAGGTTTCAATAAATGCCCTTTCCCCCTTCCCCCCACAAGTCTGATTTTCCAGCATGACCATCCCCCAGATGGTGCACATCTCACTCATTATGTATGTACATACCCACCCCCCCCGCCCCCTCCCACCTGCCCAATACTCTGTTACTGTAGTACCTATGTGTCCACTTAAGTGCTGCTCAGTTAATACCAGTTTGCTGGTGAGTAAAAGAATAGAGTCTAAGTCATATGGTTGTTATAAGGAGTAGTTGATACAAAGCATGTAGAGAGCTTAGTGGATTGCTTATACATGGTAAGCTTTTACATAACGAGTGATATGCACACCATCTGAGGGATGGTCATGCTGGAGACTCAGACTTGTGGGGGGAGGGGGGAAGGGCATTTATTGAAACCTTAAAATCAGTACCCCCATAATATGCCGAAATAAAAAAAAAAGTTAGCATTTTTGATAATGAAAACAGTGATCTTATGGCTCTGATAGTCTTGATACCTATTAATTCATCCCTCTGCTCTTTCAAATTTTCCTGAGCACCACAGAGATATGAATTAGATTCAGTCTTTGCTTTGAAGACCTTTCTAGTCCTGTGGAGAAAATAGACAGCCAGCCAGTAAAATAAAGGTTGATAGATACGAGCTATGTATAAGGGCAAGAACAAGATTCCTGGGGAATGGAATGGAAACATCTTACTCAGGCCCAGGAATAAATCAAGATCTATGGACTTTTTAAGATTCTGAGTTACAACTAACAGAAATTACACTGGTTACCTTAGGTAGAATTATATTAATTACCAGAAGGATATCAGATAACTCATGGAATCAATGGGGATGCCTGAGAGCCAGGTTTAACAATGGGCAGAAACTATCAAAGAAGACCAAGTCAGGTATTTAGAAACACATCCATCATCAAGCCACAAGGTAAATTTGAATTATCTTGCTGCCATGGTTATGGTCCTCCACTGTACCAAGAGCAGCATTGCACCAGACATTACTTGCTACTATCACTGCCAAAATGTATCTAAATTATTAATTCCTTTTTGTGTCACTCACTGTACAATTAAGGTCTCTTGCAGAAGGATCTGGTAAGTCAGAGGTGTTTTTTTGTTTTGTTTTGTTTTTTATTATTATTCTATAAAGGGAAGAGTTGGCAAATGTTTTAGTCTTTGTAGGCCATGTAGTCTCTGTCATAATTACTCAACTCTGCTGTTTATAGACTGAAAGAAACCATAATTGGCGCATAAATGTATAGGCATGGCTTGTTAGGATAAAACTATATTTACTAAGAAAGGTAGCCAAATTTTGCTGGTGGGTTATAAATTGATAATTCCTGTTAAAAAGGAGATTTAAGTTATACCACAAGGTTCTACCTGACAACAGTTAGGGAAAATAAATAGCTGGAATTAGTTCTTCTCTGTAGTGGTAGTCAGGGCCTTGTGTCCTGCCAAGTCCCATATAATAGCATATACTTGAACCCTAGGAGACATTAGAAGCTACGCATTCATAAATACAAAAATTTTCAGTATCATCTTCAAGTTGGGTTCTCAACAAAAATATGCTAATTTTTTAAATAAGCCAACTTGAGTTTAAACCAAAATACATTTGAACCAGTAAGAAGGGCTCCATTGATATTTTTTCATATATGGTATATGTATGATAGTATTAATCAGCTATTACCACAATAAAGCTATGGTATAAATCACCTCAACACTCCATGGATTAAAATATCAGGCATTTCTGGGTGCTTTGGTTGCTTGTAGTGTAGCTGATTCAGGCTGAGAATGGTTGAGAAGCTCTGCTTAAAGATGTGGTTAGCTGAACTAGGCTCCTGGATACATGTTGGATTAAAGCCTGCTACGTATGTCTTTACTCTAGGCCTACAATAAATGATCAATGGCATGATCCTTTCATAACAGATCACCAAAGAATGAACCAAGCCTAACCTCCTAAGAGTACATATGGCCTGTGTTCCTATGGAATCCATTGACAGTCAATTGGCCAAAGCAAATCACATGACCAAGAATGACATAAATAGAAAGCGAAAGTAGCCTCTTCCTATAATGGAAGGAGAAAAGATGTAAATATTTGCTCGACAATAAGTATTAGCTATAGTTAATAATTTATAACAAAGGATTTTTTTACAGTTAGAAAATACCTAGTGATTTTGTCCTGCTTCATTATTTTATAGCATAGAAAAGTAAATCTCAAAGAAGTTAAGTGACTTACCCAAGCTTATCTGCATATTACTCTTTCACTTAAATATTTATCTGTTTTGCATATTTTATTCACAATAAATTACAAATAAGAAGAAATGTATTAGATTCTCAGCATTCCTAAGACATAAATTCTGAGACCATCATTCATCACCAAATTCATGAATGTTATAATTGTAAAACTCACCTTTATTAAATGTCATAAAGTAAAATAGACATTACTCTTTAGGTAAGGGCAAGAAGAAAATTAATAGCCAGACTGATTTGTGACTACTTATTCATTATATAAGGGACCTACTTCTATACATTGTCTTCCAGCAAATAGAATTTCCTAATTTGTA